CTAAAACAGCGTAGAGGGGGAAAACTATGTTTTCCTCTTTCATCCTGGGTTCCTAACTGAGGCCCCTCTAACAAAGAGAGATTAGTAAGAGAAAAATCATACAAATTTACTTCATATAAGTTTTACATAACAAGGGAGCCTGCATAAGGAAATAAAACTGAAGGTATATTTTTATGCAGGGTGATGAGGAAGTGGGTGTTGGCGGAAGTGGGTGTGGTGTGAGCTCCTGGTAAGGAACAGGGAGAAGTTGGCCGAGGCCTGTTTGATTCCTCTTGGTGTCCCTGGGCTCTGGCTTCCCTTCTTCACATCTAGGGAAGACACCTCTTATGTGAAAGGCATATTGTCTGCCTCATGGATAGATCAAAAAATTTTCCTAATTTTTATGAACCTGTTGTAGGAGAGAAAGATATAGGAAGGTAAGACTGACCTTTCTACTTTTGCTCTTTTCCTGAATGTCAAGGGTCCATATTTTGGGGTACTGTGTTCTGAACCTTGTCAGTAGTGACTTTTTTTTTCTTTTCCACTGATGGGTGTTAGATACTTTACCATGAATCAAATATCAGTTGAAATACATACATCCTCAAGCTGTCAGAGTTTTTCTTCAAAGTATTAACTACTTTTCAGGGATGAGTGCCAGGCATTTATTGAAACTGGTTCAAGTGTGAGGGAGCAGTTGAGTTGAAAGTTAACAGAGGAGGCTCTGTCTGTGTGACAGGTTGGGTGGGTTTCTAAAGAGTTAGCTTGCTTTCTCCCTCCCTTCCTCCCCTTCCTCCCCTTCTTCCCCTTCCTCCCTTCCCTTCCCTTCCCTTCCCAAGTCACAGTCACAGAGGGAAAGGGACAGAGAGATCTTCCATCCACTGGTTCACTCCCAAGCCTGGGCCAGGAACTCTGTCCAGGTCTTCCACAGGGGTGGCAGGGGCTCAAACACTTGGGGGAGGGCATCTTTCACTGCTTTTCCCAGGCCATTAGCAGAGATCTGGATTGGAAGTGGAGCATCAGGGACTTGAACTGGTGCCCATATGGGATGCTCACATCACATGCCATGGCCTTACCTGCTGCACCCACCACAACACCGGCTGCAAAGAATTCTCTTTCGTGGGGCCAGCACTGGGGTACGTTGGGTTAACTCACTTCCAATACGGGCATTGGTCCAGGTCCCAGATACTCCACTTCCAAACCAGTTCCCTACAAATGCATCTGGAAAAGCAGGGGAAGATGACCCAAAGTATTTTAGTACCTGCAACCATGTGGGAGACCTAGATGGAGCTTCTGACTCCTGGTTTCTGCCTGGCCCAGCCCCAGCTGTTGCAGCCATTTGGAGAATGAACCAGTGGATGATCTCTCCACCCGCCCCCACTCTCTCTTTCACTCTCTTTCAAATAAATAAAGAAATCTTTTTTTTCAACTTTTATTTAATAAATAAAAATTTCCAAAATATAACTTTTGGATTATAGTGGCTTTTTCCCTCCCATAACCTTCCTCCCACCCACAACCATCCCATCTCCCACTCCCTCTCCCATCCCATTCTTCATCAAGATTCATTTTCAATTATCTTTATATACAGAAGATCAACTTAGTATATACTAAGTAAAGATTTCAACAGACTGCACTCACACAGACACACAAAGTATAGAGTACTGTTTGAGTAGCAGTTTTACTGTTAATTCACGTAGTACAACACATTAAGGACAGAGATCCTACATGGGGAGTAAGTGCACAGTGACTCCTGTTGTTGATTTAACAATTGATACTCTCATTTATGACGTCAGTAATCACCCAAGGCTCTTGTCATGAGCTGCCAAGGCTATGGAAGCCTCTTGAGTCCACAAATTCTGACCTTATTTAGACAAGGCCATAATCAAAGTGGAAGTTCTCTCCTCCCTTCAGAGAAAGGTACCTCCTTCTTTGATGGCCCGTTTTTTTCCACTGGAATCTCACTCACAGAGATCTTTCAATTAGATCATATTTTTTATTTTTTATTTTATTTTATTTTATTTTTTTTGCCACAGTGAGTGTCTTGCCTTTCCATGCCTGTGAAACTCTCATGGGCTTTTTAGCCAGATGTGAATGCCTTAAGGTCTGATTCTGAGGCCAGAGTGCTGTTTAGGACATCTGCCATTCTATGAGTCTGCTGTGTATCCTGCTTCCCATGTTGGAACGTCCTCTCCCTTTTAATTCTATCAGTATTAGCAGACACTAGTCTTGTTTATGTGATCCCTTTGACTCTTAGTCCTATCATTATGATAAATTATGAACTGAAACTGATCACTTTGACTAATAAGATGACATTGGTACATGCCACCTTGATGGGATTGAATTGGAATCCCCTGGCATGTTTCAAGCTCTACTATTATTAGGAGTAAGTCCAAGTGAGCATGTGCTGAACTGTACATCTCCTCCCTCTCTTATTCCCACTCTTATATTTAACAGGGGTCACTTTTCAGTTTAATTTAAATGCTTAAGAATAATTGTGTGTTAATTAAAGAGTTCAACCAATGATATTAAGTAGAACAAAAAAAATGCTAAAAGGAATAAAGTATTAAGTTGTTCCTTGACAGTCAGGACAAGGGTTGATCAAGTCACTGTTTCTCATAGTGTCCATTTCACTTCAACAGGTTTCCTTTTAAGTGCTCAGTTAGTTGTCACCGATCAGGGAGAACATATGATGTTTGTCCCTTTGGGACTGGCTTATTTCACTCAGCATGATGTTTTCCAAATTCCTCCATTTTGTTGCAAATGACTGGATTTCATTTTTTTTACTGCTGTATTGTATTCTATAGAATACATATCCCATAATTTCTTTATCCAGTCTTCTGTTGATAGGCATTTAGGTTGATTCCATGTCTTAGCTAGCTATCGTGAATTGAGCTGCAATAAACATTGAGGTGCAGATAGCTCTTTTATTTGCCAATTTATTTTCCTTTGGGTAAATTCCAAGGAGTGGGATGACTGCGTCATGTGGTAGGGCTATATTCAGGTTTCTGAGGAATCTCCAGACTGACTTCCATAGTGGCTTTACCAGTTTGCATTCCCAACAACAGTGGGTTGGTGTCCCTTGTCCCCCACATCCTTGCCAGCATCTGTTATTCGTAGATTTCTGTATGTGAGCCATTCTAACCAGGTTTAAATGAAACCTCATTGTGGTTTGGTTTGTATTTCCCTGATTGCTAATGCTCCTGAACATTTTTTCATGTGTCTCTTGACCATTTGGATTTTCTTTTATAAAAAATATCTGTTGAGGTCCTTGGCCTATCTCTTAAGTGGGTTGTTTGTTTTGTTGTTGTGGAGTTTCTTGATCTTTTTGTAGATTCTGGTTATTAAACCTTTACCGGTTGCATAATTTGCGAATTTTTTCCCAATTCTGTTGGTTGCCTCTTCACTTTCCTGTCTATTTCTTTTGAAGTACAGAAACTTCTCAGTTTGAAGTAATCCCAATTGTTAATTTTGGCTTTGACTGCCTATGCCTCTGGGGTCTTTTCCAAGAAGTCTTTGCCTGTGCCTATATCTTGCGGGGTTTCTCCAATGTTCTCTAAAAATTGATGGTGTTGGGTCGTAGATTTAGCTCTTTAATCCATGTTGAGTGGATTTTTGTGTAAGGTGTAAGGTAGGGGTCTTGTTTCATGCTTCTGCATGTAGAAATCCAGGTTTCCCAGCACCATTAGTTGAATAGACTGTCCTTGCTTCAAGAATTGGTTTTTGATCCTTGATCAAATATAAGTTGGCTATAGATATTTGGATTGATTTCCAGTGTTTCTATTCTGTTCCATCGGTCTATCCATCTGTTTCTGTACCAGTACCATGCTGTTTTGATTATAACTGCCCTATAGTATGTCTTGAAATCTGGTTTTGTGATGCCTCCAGCTTTGTTTTTGTTGTACAAGATTGCTTTAGCTATTCGAGGTCTCTTGTGCCTCCATATGAATTTCAGCATCATTTTTTCCAGATCTGAGAAGAATGTCTTTGGTATTTTGATTGGTATCACATTGAATCTATAAATTGCTTTTGGGAGAATGGACATTTTGATTATATTGATTTTTCCAATCCATGAGCCTGGAAATTTTTCCATTTTTGGTATCCTCTTCTATTTCTTTAAGATTTTGTAATTCCTGGCCGGCGCCGTGGCTCATTAGGCTAATCCGCTGCCTGTGGCACCGACAACCCGGCTTCTAGTCCCGGTTGGGGTGCTGGATTCTGTCCCGGTTGCTACTCTTCCAGTCCAGCTCTCTGCTGTGGTCCGGGAGTGCAGTGGAGGATGGCCCAGGTCCTTGGGCCCTGCACCCGCATGGGAGACCAGGAGAAGCACCTGATTCCTGGCTTCGGATCGGCGCAGTGCTCCGGCAGCAACGCGCTAGCCATAGCGGCCACTTGGGGGGTGAACCAACGGCAAAAGGAAGACCTTTCCCTCTGTCTTTCTCTCACTAACTCTGCCTCCCCCCGCCCCCCAAAAAAAAGATTTTTGTAATTCTCATCGTAGAGATCTTTGACATCCTTGGTTAAGTTTATTCCAAGGTATTTGTAGCTATTTTGAGTGGGATTGATCTTAGAAATTCTTTCTCAGCCATGGCATTGTCTGTGCTTTTTTTTTTTAAAGTTCTCTTCTGGAGGAGTGATGATCCCCTTCCAATCATATTAATGGCATTAATGTTAAAGAGAACCATTCATATTTTTTGAGCTTAAAGAGAATTCCAATTTCTAGAACACCTTTGATCATATATTATGAGGTATACTTTTTACATAACTAAGAGATTCAGAGAAAAATTTAACAAATTTCCATCTCTGGCTCTTTCACTAAACTCTTGATTTATTGAAATGGAAGGAATTTGCTGACCCTGTTTTTGCTGTCCTGCTCCTTGAATTCAGTGGTGAATCCATACAGGTAGGGCTTCTTAGGGTTCTATTCAGATGCAGCCCAACTTGTCTTGACCCCTCTTTCCCTGGATCCAGACCCCTTGTACCTGATCAGTTGAGTGAATCCATTCTGGAACTTTCTTCCTACTCACCTAGGAAATCTTGGTGGGCTACAAGTTCCTCACTTGCTTGTAGAACCCAGTAACCTTCAAAGACATAGAATGGTGTGATGAGACTTTTTGTAATAACATGGTATATATGCAATATTATAGGACTATAATATAATATAATATAATATAATATAATATAATATAAATGGAGGGATTAACTAATTTATCTTAGGCACGCTATAGTTTTTGAGCTGTTGTCTGCTCTTTAGAGTTTTCTATTTTGTCATTTTTCGCATCTGACTGCTGAGTGTCTCTGCCCAAAGCAGTCCCTCTTCCTGTTCTAGTTCTTGGAGGCAAGTTGTATCCAAGATGCTACATTGACCTTATGATTAGGTGACAGTGCCAAAAACCCAGGGGGCATTTTCAAAGTATACACTGTGTGATAATATTTTCATAGGATTATCTAACTGTGTTACTTTGTTGTGTTTTAAGCTTTCTATTAGTTGGTTAGTTATTGTTTCATTTATTCATTCACTCATCAGCTGCTATGGGAGCACATGTAAGTGCTATATTGCAGTAGCTGGACTATACCTGGTGATTAGGATGAAAAGGTAGGCAAAACAGATGTGTCTTCTGAGTTTTGCTGATAATTCACAGGTTGAAAATAAAGAGACTGAAATACCTAAAGAAAACCAATTTGCTTTTCTCGAATTCAAAGACTATGTGTGAGATTGGCATATCCCAGCCTACACAGTAGAGTTCTCCATAAGTGTATTTCATGTGGGAAGTGGCACCAGACATTTCCTGTGTTACAATAATCTTCCTGTATTTATTGAGCTATAGCTTGTGAGGCTTCCTGATGGGGCTTTAGATGAGGCTTTTTGTGGGCTGCCTCGTGTCTGTGTCAAGGAGCACCCTGTGACCTCCTGCTCTGACGCTCATCTGGCTTGTCCTGGTAGTGCAGCCTGTTTCAGTCATCCCAGGGGAGGCTCAGGGGAGCCACACAAAGCAGGGAAGACAAACAAAAGGGTTGGTTTCATGGTGGGCTGGAAAATGTACTTAGGGAAAACCCAGCGTGGAGTACAGCTCTTTGCCTGGTATATTTTACATCCTTAGAGCCTTTCAGCACAGCAGCTGAATATTGGAATATTCCAGAATTGTTCTACATTGTTTTGAAATGCTGGGCTAGGAGACTACACTTTTTAAAAACTGTTTCTCTGCCCCTGCTCTCAACTGCAGCTCTGGAAGCAGGTTAGAAGGATCTGAGAACTTCTAGGTATTACAAGGGGATAGTAGAAAAATCCAGCAATTTTCCTACCATGCTAAGCTCTGTGCTCAGGAGGACTGGCTGCTTACTGATAACAGAGATTCAAGGCTGGGAAAGGAAAGAGTGCATAGGAGAGGGGAATAAAAATGAGGGGTTGTTAGTGAAGAGAAGGGAAAGGAGACCAAGGAAAAAGGGCATGGTGGTGCTTGTGTGTCCTGCCTTATATGCTCTCACAAAAAGGAGCATGGGAAAAAGCAGGCAGAGCCAAAGGGGAATGAGGAGAGGTGACGAGATACAGGAGAGCACTTGGAGGTAGTACGCGAGAAGGAAATGAGTCCAATAAATCCAAAAACAGGTGAGAGGGAAGGAGACTGGATAAGAACTATTTAAATGCAGGAAGATGAGATGGTCCTGGGGAGGGAATGCCTGCTTTGGTCACACTGAGAGCCTTCAATTGCTCCCAGTGGTGCATCCCCCAAATAGCCAGTGTCTCTTGCCCAAGACATTTTCCTGACTTTGTATTAACTTTAATGCGATTCTCTTTATGGTCCCTGTATTGCTGGTTGCAGTTTCATTGACACTCGGTGTGATCAAATAGCAAACGTGAAGGCACAGCTCTGTTATCCCTGGCCCCTTGCAGTGTGCAGCCGACTTCTGAGTCAGGGCTCCTCGCGTTTGATGTTTGCCATTCCTCCTTATGTATAGCTAGGAAGGTTGAAAAGGAAGAAAACGTTCCTAAGGGCTGCCACATTTACAGCTCATGCATCCACACAGTCAGAGTAGCCGGAGAAACACTACAGAATCTCGATTTAGTATTTTTTCCCAAGTAAGGTGGTTGACTCTTGTATTGCTGGCCTGGTTCCTTGTCCTAACCCAGCACCATACTTGCTGCACCTGTTGGTAATCTTCTTGAAAGATCTTTCCTTATCTTTTTTAGAGTACTCAGTTCAGGATGCTTCCCGATATTGCAGATCTGAGTCAGGGGCTTCTAAGTGTCCACCAGGGCACTCTGCAACCTTGGCTTCCTATGCTGATCCTTCTCCATTGCAGCTACCATGCCATGCCATGGTTTTTGTCCTTGTACTTTGAGCTGTCTGTACAAAGTTGGTTATGATTGAGCACCATTTGAGGAAATGGATCAAAGTCTATAATGCTGGTCTATAAAGAGTGTAAAATAAATTCTAGATTGGGTTATGTTTTTAGATACCAGTTAACAATTACTCTTAAGTGTGCCAGCAAGGAGAAGGACTAAATACCAGTAGGGATTTTTGTAGAGTCTAGTAGGATAATATGTCCTATACTCATGCAACCACAGGTTAAGCATCCCAAATGTGGAAGTCTAAAATAGAAAGTTTTTGAACACCAACAGGACACTGGCAAACTTTTGGATTTCAGGTTTTTGGGTAGGGATGCTCAGGCAGTTAAGTCTATGCAGATGTTTCAAAATCCTAAAATCTCTAAGGTCTAAAACCCTTCAGATCCTGAGCATTTCAGCATTTCTGCAGCTTACATAATAGAGGAACTGTGATTCTGTTAACTTCTAGATACCAGAGGCTGATCTTGAGGTTTCAGACAACCTATTTTGTGTAACACTGGTAACCACAGGCCTGATGCATAAGGCAGTCCTCAGATTTCAATGTATATAGGACTCATCTGAGGAGCTTGTTAAAATCCAAATTATATTGCTGGTGTCTGATGGGTTCTGAGCTTCTCTTCAAGTTACCTTGTGAGGCTGGTGTTGCTACCCATGGACCACACTCTGAGTGAACAACACTTAAAATACTTTCTAGAAAATAAAGCTGGGGTTTATTCTACAAAAATGTGTAGTTGCATTTCATAGTTTGCACAACAGATTTTCTTTCTTTCTTTCTTTTTTAAAGATTTATATACTGGGGCCGGTGCTGTGGCATAGCGTGTAAAGCCTCTGCCTGCAGTGCGTGCATCCCATAGGGGTGCCGGTGTGGGTCCCAGCTGCTGTACTTCCCATCCAGCTCTCTGCTATGGCCTGAGAAAGCAGCAGAAGATGGCCCAAGTCATTGGGCTCATGCACCCACATGGGAAACCCAATAGAAGCCCCTGGCTCCTGGCTTCAGATCGACTCAGCTCTGGCTGTTGAGGCCAACTGGGGAGTGAACCAGCAGATGGAAGATCTCTCTCTTTCTGCCTCTCCTTCTCTTTCCATGTAACTTTTTCAAATAGATAAAACTCTTTCAAATAAGTAAATACATCTTATTTGTACTTACTTACTACAGAGAGGCTGAGGTATAGAGTTTTTTTTTTAAGATTTTCTTAAAGAAAACTGGTGTTCTTATTTCCAGTTAGAAAGTTACAAGAGTTTCTTGCCCTTAAAAACACTGCATCTGGTACTGATCAGCTCCCCAAACTGCTTTAGAATGAGCCTGTGTGTTGTCCTGCCCTTTGCTGACACCCAGCTTTACTTGTTTAGCTATTCTCAGGTTTGGAAGGCCCTGGCCCTGGCGTTGGCCCGGGTATGGCTTCATTAGCAGCAAGGACTACTTTTAAAGCAGAAATACTCTTTGGAAGATTGGCAGCTCAAAGGCTGTGTTTATGATGAGACCTTCGCATTTATCGATTGTTAGCAGGTTAGCGCTGTGCAAAGACCTTCTCCAGGGGCATCCAGTTGCAATGGCCAGAAATGTAAAGGGCACTGTTCAGCTGAGTTTTGCAAGCGAAACCTGCATCTGCTTACAAATGTTCCGTCTGCTCTCTGAAGGTGATATTTGAAGTTTTTTTCTAACAAGATGGCCTTTATTTTGCAGGTGTTTTGCAGCCAGTGTGAGGAGAGAGAAAGAGAGAGAGAGAACGAATATCACGCTCAGGTAAAGAGATGGTGTGTGCAGCATAAGTGACAAGCAGGACTAATGGCAGGTCATTTGTTATCGCATGGGCCATGACTGAGTTTAATTCTGCCATCCTCTTATGTGTGTCTTAGTTATGTCTGGGTTTCACGGGCCCGTGATCACAGACCTCATTGAACTGTCATGTCTTTGAGGGGCATCTGTGAAGTGCCTGGGCGAGAGCCTCTCTGAGCAATAAGGAGACAGGCCTGGCCCTGCAAGCCTGGTCTAGCCTCTACAGAACTAATGTAGAGGTATTACTGGTTTTCATCTTTGTTACTAGCTCAGAAGGATTTTATCACTTCAACACTTCTGTAAGTAAACAAACACTGAAGACCTTTCATTAGTCTTACCTGTGTCCCCTTATCTGAAGTTGTCCTACATTTCCTTTATATTTTCTTTTAAGATAAATAAATGTCCCACAATTTTGATTTCCCCAAATGGGTCACCAAGATTAATTTTCCATTAACCTCTATTGCTTCTGTTGTTTTTTTTATTTTCTTTCTAATCATCCTCTTGGAGGATTACGCATTCCCCATTGGATCAGCTTTTCATTAGGGTGTAAACCATTTTTTTCTTGGAGGGTCCTTATGGCACTGATGTCGATGGTGGTGATCTGTCACATGGTCCTTAGCCACGGCCCCATCAGCACAGCTGGAGCATCTCCTGGGTGACCCATGCCAGGAGATCTTTGACCATGGCTCTTCTGCTACTGGGCTTGCTTCTGTTGTTACCCAGTCTGGATCCATTTCCTCCAACTGCCTTAACAAAATACTAGAAACTGGCTGGTTTAAAGAACAGAACTTTATCATCTCATAGTTTTGCAGGCCAGAAGTCCAAAACTGAGGTGTCAGCAGGGTTGGTTGTTTCTTGTAAGATTTATAAGGAAGAACCTGTTCCAAGTCTTCCCCCTTCCTTCTGGTTCCTTAGGCATCACTTGGCTGTGCCTTTATTTTTATTTGCAAGTTATT